CCATTTGGGGGGTCTCTTTTACGGGTCCCTTGTTTCGTAAGCTCCCGTGTATGGCGAGCGCTCCTTACTCAGCGCTTGATGGTGGTTTAGGGTTTCTCGGCTTAGGTTGTGTTGCCTTCCCTAGTAAGCTTGCCGATGCCCGACACACCAACATCTGCAAAGGGCTGCTGGCCCCGAAACCCTAAAACCCCAAACCATAAACCCCGCACCCTAAATCCCAAACCCTTTTGGGTGTTTAGCTCTTTTTGGGGGAGTCAGGTCTTGTCGGGCGATCATAGCAGCACCCCCCACAAGCTCTAGGACTTCTGGGCCTCTAGAACCAGGGTTCAGGGCTTAGGGTTTAAACCCTAAACCCTAAACCCTCAACCCTAAACCCCAAACCCTAAACCCTAAACCCTAAACCCTCAAGCCTATTGAAGTGATTAAAAAAAAGGGTTTCAGCCACCTTCATCGGTGTAGTTGTGGGGCCCTTCGGGCCCTCTTGCGAGCGCACGCTGCCGGCACCTCGAATCCTTCAGCTAGGGGTCTTGTTGTTTGGGGTTTAGGGTCTAGAGTTTAGGGTTTAGGGTTTAGGGTTTAGGGTTCAGTGTTGAGTGTCTGGGGTTTATTTAGGGCTCAGGGTTTGGGGTTTGGGGTTTAGGGTTTAGGGCCGAGGGAAGGTCCAAGCCCACGAACATCAACCCTCAACCCTCGACCCTCGACCCTCAACCCTCAACCCTCAACCCTCAACCCTCAACCCTCAACCCTCAACCCTCAACCCTCAACCCTCAACCCTCAACCCTCAACCCTCAACCCTCAGCCCACCCGGGTGGGAACCGTATGGAAAACCCTAAACCCTAAACCCTAAATCCTAAACCCTAAACCCTAAACCCTAAACCCTAAACCCTAAACCTCTCACTTCGGGATTCGAAGCGCCTGAGAAGACGAACCAGAGAGGTTTGTCACCGCGGTCGGCTGCTCCCATCTTGTAAATCAAAACCTTACCAGCAAAAACCTCGGTTTTAGGGTTTAGGTTTTAGGGTTTAGGGTTTAGCACACTCTGACCTGAGTTTAGGGCTTAGGGCTTAGGGCTTAGGGCTTAGGGCTTAGGGCTTAGGGCTTAGGGCTTAGGGCTTAGGGCTTAGGGCTTAGGGCTTAGGGCTTAGGGTTTAGGGTTTAGGGTTTAGGATTTAGGATTTAGGATTCAGGGTTTACGGCTTTGACCTGGAATCTCAGTCGCTTAAACCCGGAAGCAAAACCCGATACCTCCAAGCTAAACCACACAACGCAGTGGGCGTGGTAGGCGCGCTCCTGTTGTCCATCTTGCGCAACCGGGACCCCAAGCCCTACACTAAACCCTAAACCCTAAACCCTAAACCCTGTAACCCAAAACTCTATAACCCCATAAGACTAGAACCCCAGGCCTTCCCACGCAACTTTAGCGCCTGGCAAGGGTCCGAAGCTCTACGACCCCATAGCCCGATGGCCAAAAGCTCCTGAGTCCCCCCCAAGCCTCGAATCCTCAGATCCGTGGCCCTACGCTCCTCCCCTAAACGAAGCTAAAAAAAAACGGGTTGAGATTTTATGGGCTTTAGCGGGCTTAGGGGGCTTCGAGGGTTTAGAGCCCCTAAACCCTAAACCCCAAGCCGCAAAAAACACCCGAAGCCCTACACCCTGAATACCCTGCCTTACACACCTAGTTACCCAAAATAAGAGGCTACTATACCCCCCCCCCCCCCCCAAAGTAGGAAGCTGTAGTCCACAGTTTTAGTCTACTGGCTCTCAAGGTAGAACCCTAACAGCCCTAAACCCTAAACCCTAAACCCTAAACCCTAAACCCTGAATGCCCTAGAACCCCACAGCGAACCATGTCCTTCAGCAGGGAGCATATCCCAGGTTTTCCTCCGCGCTTCAAAGCTGGGCCTGGGAGCTACACGGGAGAGTTTCGGAGTTGTAGGGTTTAGAACCTTTTACATAAACCCTAAACCCTAAACCCTAAACCCTAAACCCTAAACCCTAGGGTTTTGAGGATTTAGGGGTCTAGGGGTTTAGATGGGTGTAGGGGGTTAGGGGCTCTAGGGGGTGCCAGGGGTTTAGGGGGTTTTTGGGCTTCTCGGGCTTTTGGGGGTTCAGGAGAGTTGGGAGTTTGGAAGTTTAGAGGTTTGGTGTTTGAGAAACCCCGACCCCTAAACCCAAAAAAGCCCTCAAGGCCTCCAAACCCTAAATCCTGAAAACCCTAGGGTTTAGGGTTTAGGGTTTCGGGTTTAGGGTTTAGGGTTTAGGGTTTTGGGTAAAATTCAGGGGCGAAGACGGGTTTCGGGGTCAGCAGGGGATCAAGATTCATGGGGCTACAGCCGGGCTTGAAGTCTTCCTCAACCCTAAACCCTGAAGAGCACCGTAGCTGGGTTCCGAAATGCGTGGCCTACATTAGGGTTTACGGCGGGTTCAGGGCCCTACACCCTAAACCCTAAACCCTAAACTCTAACCCTTAACCCTCTACCCTGGCGCCCCAGACCCAACCCAAGCAGTCGGATGTCTCACCTGTTCACAGTGATTTTCGTGCCATCGGTGCACGAAAAAGATGCGCGCCATGACCCCACCTCTAGCCTGCTTGGGGCTTGTTTCGGGTTTAGGGCAGGGTTTAGGGTTTAGGGTTTAGGGTTTAGGGTTTCGGGTTTAGGGGTTAGGGGTTAGGGGTTAGGGGTTAGGTCTTCGACCGTGGTGAGGTCTCTCAGTTCTCACGACTGTCAGTATGTCAGCGAGCAGGGTATCTCCTAGTGATTCCCCCTCACCAGCTCGTCGTTGCGACCCTAAACCCTAAACCCTAAACCCTAAACCCTAAACCCTAAACCCTAAACCCTAAACCCTAAGCCTAAGCCCTAAACCCTAAACCCTAAACCCTAAGCCATCTCGTGAGTCTCTTTATGGAGCCCAGATAAACGATGTCCCGGAACCCTAGGAGCGACCCTTGATCTTAGTCCCCTATATAACCCTTGGGGTTTAGGGTTTCGGGTTTAGGAAGGTTTAGGGTTTAGGGTTTAGGGTTTAGGGTTTAGGGTTTAGGGTTTAGGGTTTAGGGTTTAGGGTTTAGGGTTTAGGGTTTAGGGTTTGGGGTTATAGAGCCCCTAATTATATACCTAAGTAGCCCCTAAACAACCCCTTAATGTCCCCTAAGGTCCCTTATAAGGGTCCCTCCTATAGCCCTTGACTTCAGGTCTTCGTGTTCCGGGTTAAGGTGTAGGGTTGGGATTTGCGGTTTGTGGTCTAGGGTTTCTGGGGTTTGTAGGGCTTGAGGTATAGGGCCCTAAACCCTAAACCTAAACCCTAAACCCTAAACCCTGAACCCTGAACCCTGAACCCTGAACCCTGAACCCTGAACCCTAAACCCTAAACCCTGAAGCCTAGGCTGAGGGTTCTTCCATATCCAGCCCGGATCCTAATGGTCGAACCCCAAGCCATCACTGCAGCCACGGAACACGAGTCTTAGGACCGTTTGAAGGCTTCCTCGGTTGTTCCAAGAGAGCTCAATCATCGCTTACCCTTAGAAGGCAGCTAAGACAGGCGACGGAACGCTGAATCTGAGTGTAGGGTTTAAGGTCTAGGGTTGAGAGTTTTTGGGCAGGGAAGTTGCGGCAGCAGTTGAAGACTGCCATGGATGTATTATGGCTTACGTTGTATGGTTTCGGGCTTAGGTGGATTTAGGGTTTAGGATTTGGGGTTTAGGGTTGGCTATAGGGTCTCTTGGTGTAGAGAAGCCTTCACCGACATAGACCTGATGGCGACTGCCTTTGTGCAAGTTCGTGGGTCCCAGCCTCAGTATGTTAGGGATTTCCGGGGTAGACCCTTGAAAAAGGGCTTAGGGTTAAGGGTTCAGAAGAACTTACTCTGGCGCACGTTCCTCAAGGTCCTTCGGACGTGGTTTTCGTAGCATTCTCGCGCGGCATTATTGCAGAAACCCTAAACCCTAAACCTAAACCCTAAACCCTAAACCCTAAACCCTAAACCCTAAACCCTAAACCCTAAACCCTAAACCAACGGCATGTTAAACCTGTGCGCTTTCGCGCATGAAGTACTTTTGTGCCTTGTGCAGACAAAGCCTCCAGGGCCACCTCGCATCCTCTCGCAAGACTCAGTTCTTGAGTTAGGCAACCTTTACGTTGATATTTTGGGTGTGTTTTGGGTAGAGTTTAGGGTTAGGGTGTAGGGTGTCGGGTTTAGGGTTTAGGGCTATAGAGTCTACAGTGTTTCGTGCTTAAGTAGGGTACTATACAAGAACCCCCACCCCCCCCCCCCCACCCCCTCTCCAACCTACAGGTTCCCTGCATTGGAACCTAAGTACCTACACCCTAAACCCTAAAGCCTAAAGCCTAAACCCTAAACCCTAAGCCCTAAACCCTAAAACCCTAAACCCTAGTAGTTCAATGAAGTTGGGGGGCGAACTGCACCACAAACCCTTGACCCAGCACCCTAAACCCTCAACCCTTACCTTTAGCTGCAGCTGAGCAGTCCTCCGACAGTGACGAGGGCTTGCTGGCCTTAAGGTTGAACCTCAGGTTCTAGGGTTTTGGGTTTAGGGTCTAGGGCTTAGGCTTTCGAGCTTAGGGTTTAGGGTTTCTGGGGTTTAGGGTGTTTAGGGTTTAGGGTGTTTAGGGTTTGGGGTGTTTAGGGTTTAGGGTGTTTAGGGCTTAGCGTGTAGGATTTGGGACTTGAAACGCTCAAGGGTCGAAGGTTTCAGGGCCTATACTGGGGGCTCAGGGTCTTGGGAGTTTTAGGGGAAACCCTAACCCTAAGCCCTAAACCCTAAACAAATGCAATACGGCACCCACGACTTGCAGAGGTCTACAGGGCGCGTGCCCTCTACTTCAAGCAGGCTGGGCTTGTGGCCTAAGGGTTCAAGGGTTTTAGGGTTTTAGGGTTTTAGGGTTTAGGGTTTTAGGGTTTGAGGGTTTGAGGGTTTTAGGGTTTAGGGGTTTAGGGGTTTAGGGGTTTAGGGGTTTAGGGGTTTAGGGGTTTAGGGGTTTAGGGGTTTAGGGGTTTAGGGGTTTAGGGGTTTAGGGGTTTAGGGGTTTAGGTGTTTAGGGGTTTAGGGGTTTAGGGGTTTAGGGGTTTAGGGGTTTAGGGGTTTAGGGGTTTAGGGGTTTAGGGGTTTAGGGGTTTAGGGGTTTAGGGTTTGTAAGGGTTTAGGGTTTAAGGCGTTTGGGTTAAGGTTTAGGGTTTGGTCTCGGGTTCTCGGAGGGTTTACAGGCTTTCGGTCTCCTTGGGGTTTCGGATTAAACCCTAAACCCTAAACCCTAAACCCTAAACCCTTGGGGACTTCAGGGTTGTGGAATGAGGGCTTACAGGGTTTATAGGGTTTATGCCCTGGGCTGTTTGCCCTAAACCCTAAAAGCCCGAAACCCTGAGCCCTAAGCCCAAAGTAACTTAAACGTCTTGCTATGGTCCTTTGCCCTGAAACCCGAAACCCCTTATGGTTTTCTGGCATTTTGGGGTTTAAGGCTTGGCCCTAAACCCTAAACCCTAAACTCTAAACCCTAAACCCTAAACCCTAAACTCCCAAAGCTGCCCGCGGCCCTCTGAATTTCCAAACTCGGAAAGCCAGCCATTTTCGCTACGAACCTCCTGGGAGTTTCTCGGGCTTTAGGGATTTTGGGGTTCTTAGGGTTTTTAGGGTTTTGGGGGTTTTTAGGGTTTTGAGGGTTTTTCGAGTTTTTTAGGGTTTTGCAAGGGTTTACGGTTTACGGTCTAAGCCCGAAGCCTAAATCCTTGAACCCTCAGCCAGAAACACCCTTAACCAATAATTAAACCCGAAACCCTAAACCCGAAACCCGAAACCCTAAACCCTAAACCTAAACCCCAAACCCTAAACCCGAAACCCTAAACCCTAAACCCCAAACAAACCCTTTGCTCCTCTGCCAGCCGCGCGAGAGCCTCCCTTCAGCCCGCCGCACCACTCTCCGCACAGGCTCGACCCCGAGTTCCTAGAGCACCTAAGGTTTAGGGTTTAGGGTTTAGGGTTTAGGGTTTAGGGTTTAGGGTTTAGGCTTGAGGGCTTGTGGCTTCGCGTTTAGCATGTGTTCCAACAACACTATGCTGGCTAGTGGTCTCGGGTGGGTCAAGATTTACCCAACCAAAATGAGACTGCGGCCCAAACCGGCCCCTGCTACTATTGGACGAATTCGGATACCAGATAACTCTGAGAGAATAATAAAACCCTCCAAAGGCCCAAAATCCCCAACCCTAAGCCCTGAACCCTAAACCCTAAACCCCAAGCCCTAAACCCTAAACCCGAAGATCCCCAACCCCAACCCCCAAAGTCTGGGTAGGCCCTTGCAGCATTTCATGTTTGTCCTGATTCTGATTGGGTTTAAGAGGGTCAAATTGTGGAGGGTTTTAAGGGCCATGTACGAAGCCCATAAGCCCCGAAGCACGGGGACTTGCTGGTTCTTAGTAGAGAATGAGGATGAGGTACCCTACATCCCCTTATATAGACCCTTTAAGGGAGTATGCAGGGTACTGTACCTGATTCCCTGATTCCGTACTTAGAACCAGGGGGAGAAGCCATGAGAAGCCCTTAAGCACGAGGAAGCAGATGGACGGCGATGGGGCCCCATCGCTGCTGCGTTTTGCGCGGAGCCAAGCGGTTTAGGGTTTAATTAGGGTTTAGGGTCTACAGGGTGGGGCCCCCTAGTTATAAGTAGAGTTATAAGGGCCTTAAATTGGGTTATGAGGACCCTAAGTTAGGTTATAAGTCCCTTAACTACAGTTAGTATAGTAAGGGAGCCCCACCCTGTAGGGTTTAGGTTTTAGGGTTTAGAGTTTAGGGTGGAGCAGGGGAGCCTCAGGTTCGAAGGGCGGGAGGTTGGAGGTTTTCTTGGTGTTTGGGAGCCCTACACCCTAAAGCCTAAGCCCTAAACCCTAAACCTTAAACCCTACACCCTACGAACGAAACGCTAGACCCTATCCAGCCACCGAACTAGAGCCCGTGCCACCCTCCACCTCAAGCCCAGATCAGAGCTAATCCCTAAGCCCCTACCTTTTCCCGGACACTCCAGTGGAAACCATAGGCGAAAGGTACCACAATGACTCAACAAACCTAAACCCTAAACCCTAAACCTCCACGCTGCCTTGGTCATCTGTGACACTTTGGAGGATCGTGTCTTGAAATTTCAGGGTTTAGCGTCAGAGCAGCCGAATCTACCACATTTGCGGGTGGTTCCAGAGGAGACGCCTCAGGTTTAGGGTTTAGGGTTTAGGGTTTAGGGTTTAGGGTTTAGGGTTTAGGGTTTAGGGACCCACAGGACCCTCCAAATTTACAAGCAACTGCAAAACCTAATCCGGACCGAAGCCCGAAGCCCCGAAGCCCTAAGCCCTAAGCCCGAAGCCCTAAGCCCTAAGCCTTAAGCCCTAAGCCCTAAGCCCTAAGCCCTAAGCCCTACACCCACAAGAGCCCAACCCCTAAACCCTCAACCCTCAACCCTCAACCCTCAACCCTAAACCCTAAACCCTAAACCCTAAACCCTAAACCCTAAACCCTAAACCCTAAACCCTAAACCCTCTCTTTCTTATATATATTTAAACCTTCGGCCGATTTCGGCCACGGCCGAAAAGCCACGAACACTGGTCCCCCCAGTGTTCGGCCGATTTCGGCCACGGCCGAAAAGCCACGAACCCTGGTCCCCCCAGTGTTCGGCCGATTTCGGCCTGGCCGAAAAGCCACGAACACTGGTCCCCCCAGTGTTCGGCCGATTTCGGCCACGGCCGAAAAGCCACGAACACTGGTCCCCCCAGTGTTCGGCCGATTTCGGCCTGGCCGAAAAGCCACGAACACTGGTCCCCCCAGTGTTCGGGGGATTTCGGCCTGGCCGAAAAGCCACGAACACTGGTCCCCCCAGTGTTCGGCCGATTTCGGCCACGGCCGAAAAGCCACGAACACTGGTCCCCCCAGTGTTCGGCCGATTTCGGCCACGGCCGAAAAGCCACGAACACTGGTCCCCCCAGTGTTCGGCCGATTTCGGCCTGGCCGAAAAGCCACGAACACTGGTCCCCCCAGTGTTCGGCCGATTTCGGCCACCGCCGAAAAGCCACGAACACTGGTCCCCCCAGTGTTCGGCCGATTTCGGCCACGGCCGAAAAGCCACGAACACTGGTCCCCCCAGTGTTCGGCCGATTTCGGCCTGGCCGAAAAGCCACGAACACTGGTCCCCCCAGTGTTCGGCCGATTTCGGCCTGGCCGAAAAGCCACAAACACTGGTCCCCCCAGTGTTCGGTCGGCCCCTCCCCTCCCTCCCCCCCCCCTCCCCTCCCCCCCCTCTCTCCCCCCCTCTCACCCCCTATCCTCACCCCGTCAGGGCCCAGCGTTTAGGGTTTCAAGGCCTCAAAGCCTGTGTTTAGGGTTTCAGGGCCTCAGGGCCTGTGTTTAGGGTTTCAGGGCCCAGCGTTTAGGGTTTCAAGGCCTCAGGGCCTGCGTTTAGGGTTTTAGGGCCTCAGGGCCTGTGTTTAGGGTTTCAGGGCCCAGCATTTAGGGTTTCAAGGCCTCAGGGCCTGTGTTTAGGGTTTCAGGGCCCAGCGTTTAGGGTTTCAAGGCCTTAAAGCCTGTGTTTAGGGTTTCAGGGCCTCAGGGCATGTGTTTAGGGTTTCAGGGCCCAGCGTTTAGGGTTTCAAGGTTTAGGGTTTCAGGGCCTTAGGGCCTGTGTTTAGGGTTTCAGGGCCCAGCGTTTAGGGTTTCAAGGCCTCAGGGCCTGTGATTAGGGTTTCAGGGCCTCAGGGCCTGTGTTTAGGGTTTCAGGGCCCAGCGTTTAGGGTTTCAAGGCTTCAGGGCCTGTGTTTAGGGTTTCAGGGCCTCAGGGCCTGTGTTTAGGGTTTCAGGGCCCAGCGTTTAGGGTTTCAAGGCCTCAGGGCCTTTGTTTAGGGTTTCAAGCCTCAGGGCCTGTGTTTAGGCTCAGGGCTCAGGCTCAAAGGCCTCAGGGCCTGTGTTTAGGGTTTCAGGGCCTCAGGGCCTGTGTTTAGGGTTTCAGGGCCCAGCGTTTAGGTTTCAAGGCCTCAGGGCCTGTGTTTAGGGTTTCAGGGCCTCAGGGCCTGTGTTTAGGGTTTCAGGGCCCAGCGTTTAGGGTTTCAAGGCCTCAGGGCCTGTGTTTAGGGTTTCAGGGCCTCAGGGCCTGTGTTTAGGGTTTCAGGGCCCAGCGTTTAGGGTTTCAAGGCCTCAGGGCCTGTGTTTAGGGCTGTGTTTAGGGTTTCAGGGCCCAGCGTTTAGGGTTTCAAGGCCTCAGGGCCTGTGTTTAGGGTTTCAGGGCCTCAGGGCCTGTGTTTAGGGTTTCAGGGCCCAGCGTTTAGGGTTTCAAGGCCTCAGGGCCTGTGTTTAGGGTTTCAGGGCCTCAGGGCCTGTGTTTAGGGTTCAGGGCCAGCGTTTAGGGTTTTCAAGGCCTCAGGGCCTGTGTTTAGGGTTTCAGGGCCTCAGGGCCTGTGTTTAGGGTTTCAGGGCCCAGCGTTTAGGGTTTCAAGGCCTCAGGCCTGTGTTTAGGTTTCAGGGCCTCAGGGCAAGGCCTCAGGGGGCCCAGGGTTTCAGGGGGCCTCAGGGCCTCAGTTGTGTTTAGGGTTTTAGGGTTTCAAGGCCTCAGGCCCTGTGTTTAGGGTTTCAGGGCCTCAGGGCCTGTGTTTAGGGTTTCAGGGCCCAGCGTTTAGGGTTTCAAGGCCGCAGGGCCTGTGTTTAGGGTTTCAGGGCCTCAGGGCCTGTGTTTAGGGTTTCAGGGCCCAGCGTCAAGGCCTCAGGGCCTGTGTTTAGGGTTTCAGGGCCTCAGGGCCTGTGTTTAGGGTTTCAGGGCCCAGCGTTTAGGGTTTCAAGGCCTCAGGGCCTGTGTTTAGGGTTTCAGGGCCTCAGGGCCTGTGTTTAGGGTTTCAGGGCCCAGCGTTTAGGGTTTCAAGGCCTCAGGGCCTGTGTTTAGGGTTTCAGGGCCTCAGGGCCTGTGTTTAGGGTTTCAGGGCCCAGCGTTTAGGGTTTCAAGGCCTCAAAGCCTGTCCTGTTTCAGGGCCTCAGGCCTGTGTTTAGGGTTTCAGGGCCTGGGTTTCAGGGCCTCAGGGCCTTGTTTAGGGTTTCAGGGCCCAGCGTTTAGGGTTTCAAGGCCTCAGGGCCTGTGTTTAGGGTTTCAGGGCCTCAGGGCCTGTGTTTAGGGTTTCAGGGCCCAGCGTTTAGGGTTTCAAGGCCTCAGGGCCTGTGTTTAGGGTTTCAGGGCCTCAGGGCCTGTGTTTAGGGTTTCAGGGCCCAGCGTTTAGGGTTTCAAGGCCTCAGGGCCTGTGTTTAGGGTTTCAGGGCCTCAGGGCCTGTGTTTAGGGTTTCAGGGCCCAGCGTTTAGGGTTTCAAGGCCTCAGGGCCTGTGTTTAGGGTTTCAGGGCCTCAGGGCCTGTGTTTAGGGTTTCAGGGCCCAGCGTTTAGGGTTTCAAGGCCTCAAAGCCTGTGTTTAGGGTTTCAGGGCCTCAGGGCCTGTGTTTAGGGTTTCAGGGCCCAGCGTTTAGGGTTTCAAGGCCTCAGGGCCTGTGTTTAGGGTTTCAGGGCCTCAGGGCCTGTGTTTAGGGTTTCAGGGCCCAGCGTTTAGGGTTTCAAGGCCTCAGGGCCTGTGTTTAGGGTTTCAGGGCCTCAGGGCCTGTGTTTAGGGTTTCAGGGCCCAGCGTTTAGGGTTTCAAGGCCTCAGGGCCTGTGTTTAGGGTTTCAGGGCCTCAGGGCCTGTGTTTAGGGTTTCAGGGCCCAGCGTTTAGGGTTTCAAGGCCTCAGGGCCTGTGTTTAGGGTTTCAGGGCCTCAGGGCCTGTGTTTAGGGTTTCAGGGCCCAGCGTTTAGGGTTTCAAGGCCTCAGGGCCTGTGTTTAGGGTTTCAGGGCCTCAGGGCTTGTGTTTAGGGTTTCAGGGCCCAGCGTTTAGGGTTTCAAGGCCTCAGGGCCTGTTTCAGGGCCTCAGGGCCTGTGTTTAGGGTTTCAGGGCCTCAGGGCCTGTGTTTAGGGTTTCAGGGGGCCTGTGTTTAGGGTTTCAGGGCCCAGTTTAGGGTTTCAAGGCCTCAGGGCCTGTGTTTAGGGTTTCAGGGCCTCAGGGCCTGTGTTTAGGGTTTCAGGGCCCAGCGTTTAGGGTTTCAAGGCCTCAGGGCCTGTGTTTAGGGTTTCAGGGCCTCAGGGCCTGTGTTTAGGGTTTCAGGGCCCAGCGTTTAGGGTTTCAGGGGGTTTCAAGGCCTCAGCCTGTGTTTAGGGTTTCAGGGCCTCAGGGCCTGTGTTTAGGGTTTCAGGGCCCAGCGTTTAGGGTTTCAAGGCCTCAGGGCCTGTGTTTAGGGTTTCAGGGCCTCAGGGCCTGTGTTTAGGGTTTCAAGGGTTCAGGACCTGTTTTTAGGGTTTCAGGGCCTCAGGGCCTGTGTTTCTGCCGGGTTCTTTTTTGGCGGCCCAGATCCCCTGTAATACACAGCAAAATCGGGCGCAAGGTTCTCTTTTGCCGGCTTCCAGGCCCGGAACGGCCCCGGAGCGGTTCCGGAGAAGCGCCCGGAACGAGCGGCTCCTAATCTAGAGTAAAATGAAAACCGTTTATTTTCTTAATGTTATGGGATTCTTTGGGCGGGTGGGTTTTTTCCCTAAGCCTGGAATGAATGCTAGAACAATGACCCTCTAGACCCTAAACCCTAAACCCTAAACCCTAAACCCTAAACCCTAAACCAAAGCAAAAAACACCCCAGGCGGTGCAGCTGTGTCGTTGGTGACCCGCCGGCGCCCCCACCGGGCTGAAGCTCCGAAGGCTTCAACGCAGAGCCGTGCTAGGTGTTCAGGATTTTTGGGGTTTAGGGTTTAGGGTTTAGGGTTTTAGGGTTTTAGGGTTTAGGGTTTAGGGCTTAGGGTTTAGGGTTTAGGGTTGAACCCTAAACCCTCAAGCCTGAATTTGAACCCATCTCGCTCCTCACACGCCAGCCCCTAAACCCTGCTGTATTTTCTCAAGCTTGCGGATTTCGCCAGGGTTTAGGGACCCTAAACCCTAAACACTAGTTTGTTGCGGGTTTAGAGGTTTCGCGGTTGGACGAGCTTTGCAACCACCCTCAAACCCGTAAACCCGAAACCTTGCTCAGACCCCCACATAAACCCTAAACACTCAACCCCTAAACCCTAAACCCTAAATCCTCAACCACTGAAGCCCTAACCCTCAATCCCTTCAGCCCTGACCTCTAAATCCTTTAACCTTCAATCTCTTGCACTCCTGAAACGTTAAGCACTAAATCCCCACCAGCCCTAACCCCAGCCCTATAGAACCCTACAAACGATGCGAACCCTCGAAACCCTAGAAGCAAACCCTAAAACCCCTCCCGAAACCCCCAAACCCTAAACCCCCAAACCCTAAACCCTAAACCCTAAACCCTAAACCCTAAACCCTAAACCCTAAACCCCTAAACCCTAAACCCCTAAACCCTAAACCCCTCAACCCCTAAACCCTAAACCCCTCAACCCCTAAACCCTAAACCCTAAACCCCTAAACCCTAAACCCCTCAAGCCCTAAACCCCTCAAGCCCTTGAGTCGAAAACATCCTCCGAAGGCCCCTGCAGCTGCACCCTCAGCCTCCAAAGGTCGCGGGCCCAACTTTCTTAGCTGCCGAGGGCTCTCATTTTATGTCTAGGGTTTAGGGTTTAGGGTTTAGGGTTTAGGGTTAGGGTTTAGAGTTTAGGGTTTGGGGTTCAAGGCTTGAGGTTTAGAGTTTCTTCCGGCTGAGGGTGTTTGTTTTTTCAACCTCTCTTAAGCAAAAAGGGCCACCTTTCTTGTTCTTTAGAGTGCTGGGCAGCCTAATTAGGGGTTGTGTGCTGAGGGCGAAGGGGCTCTCGTCGGTTTGGGGTTTAGGGTTTAGGGTTTAGGGTTTAAGGCTTAGGGCTTAGGGTTTAGGGTTTAGGGTTTAGGGTTTAGGGCTTAGGGCTTAGGGCTTAGGGCTTTAGGGTTTAGGGTTTAGTTTTCATGGTTTTGAGGGTGCGGGGGCTCAGGGCGATCAGAGTGAAGGGTAAAGAGGGTGTGATGGGGTTCAAGTAGGGTTCAAGCGTTGGATTTTAAAGTGTGCATTAGGGTTTCGGGTGTGAAGGGTTCGGGGTTTAGAGAAGGGAGTTCTGGAGTAGCTACTTCTAAGTATTCGATGCTGCGTAGATACACTTTGAGGTGTGATCATTTCGGGGTAAACATTGCGGAAAACTGGAAAACACATCCCAAATTGGAACGTTTTCCCAAAACTGGCGAGATATACATGTGGCTTAGGGTTTAGGGTTTAGGGTTTAGGGACAGGGCTGTGCCCTGGCCCGTCGGCGAATAATCTACCGGGGGCCCCTTAGTGACGCTGTTTCGGGCTTTGCCTTGCTCCTACCTTAGGGTCTGGGTGGGGTTTTGGGTCGTGACTGCATAGGGACACCCTAAACCCTAAACCCTAACTAATCCCCCTCCTTCCCCGCACGACCAGATTCCCCCTCTGGCTCGCACCTCCCGAAACCGAAGGCTGAAGTTTCGGGTTTAGGGTTTTGGGCTTAGGGTTCGCCACCACAGCTGGCACCCTGGCCAATGACTTTTTTCAGATCTTGCAATTGATAGTATTTCGTAGATAGCAGGATTTAGATATTTTTTGGAATTGATGAGATTTGGGATTCGCCGAATACAGGATGTAGAAGGGTTGGAGTTGACAAAGACCTATACTTCGTAGAAAGAGGATATAGAAGATTTTTGAGTGACAAGATTTGGGAAATCTTCCCTAATGTCCTTTAATTCTTGTTTCAAAAAGTTTTAGACATGATGTGACACTGTCATTCTATATTCTGTAATTTAGTTTACGACCCTTGCAACGTCGCAGCCTTTCTGCGATCAAGTGCTCTTGTTTGACAACTGTGTCCTAAGCTCAACATGTTTTAAGCCGATTTTAACTTCTCGCTCAAGGTCAAGCCCAACCAAATTCTCCCCAAACCCTAGCCAGCCTGGATCCGATCAGAACTCCGCGCCCTTGTTAAGACAAGGCCAAGCCCAACCGAACCCTAAACCCTAAACCCTAAACCCTAAACCCTAAACCCTAAACCCTAAAACCCCCTAGCCCACACCCAGCCCCAGATTCCCAAACTTCGGGCCCTTCCAAACCTCGAAAACCCTTCTAAACCCTTTGTCAACCCTTCGAAATAAACCCCTTCAAACCTTCCTAAACCCCTTCGAAGCCCTTCTACAGGGTGGGGCCCCCAAAGGGTGCCCTTTTTTGCTTAAAGGGGTTTATAAGGGAACCTAAACCCCCCCAAAAAGGGAATAAGGGCACTACTGGGCATCCTAGCTTACATACACCATACAGGGTGGGGCCCCCTAGCTATAAGTAGAGTCATAAGGGCCCTAAATTGGGTTATAAGGACCCTAAGTTAGGTTATAAGTCCCTTAACTACAGTTAGTAGAGTAAGGGGGGCCCCACCCTGTAAGCCCTGCTAAAGACTTCTAAAGCACCAAACCCTAAATGCTTTGGTGGGTAGGGGAACCCCCCAAATGCAATGTTTCGAGTTGTTTATCATCTTCGGTCTCAACCCTTGAACCCTTGAACCCTTCAACCGTTGAACCCTTGAACCCTTGAACCCTTGAGCCCTTGAACCCTTGAACCCTTGAGCCCTTGCACCCTCGATCCCTTGAATCCTTAACCCCTAACCCTCAACCGAACGCTAAACCCTGAGGTTCAAGATTCCAGCGGGTGCCTCCCTGGATGGTGGCTGTGCTGGGTCTCTCCGTGGTACTGCCCTCAGAATGTTTGGGTTCAAGGGTTTGGGGTTGGGGTTGGTTAAGGGTTTGGGGTTTAGGGTCAGGGGTTTAGGGTTAGGGGGATAGGGTTTATAGGGTTTAGGGTTTAAGGTTTAAGGGTTTGGGATTTAGGGTTCATAGGGTTGAGAGGGTTCAGGGAAGCTAGCCCCCTACAACCTGGGATCTTTTCGGACTCAGGGGTGAGGATTTAGGGTTTAGGGTTTAGGGTTTAGGGCTTGGGATTTGCGTTTTGCGGTTGAGGGTTGGGGCTCCAAGCAAGGAACATTCAACATGAGGAGCAGGCGCCCCTGCCTCCCTTGAAGCGCAAAATGCCGCACCAAAGCCCTAAACCCTGAACCCTGAATGCCCAAATTTCCAAACCCCAAACTCTAAACCCTAAACCCTATAAACCCTATAAACCCTATAAACCCTATAAACACTTAACCCTAAACCCTAAACCCTTAACCCTACCTAAACCTTTCCTCGCCTTGAGGTGTTGCTCCATCGGGTAGCCTTGAAGGAGTTCAGGCTCCCGCATCCCCACGGCTTTTTGGAACGGGGTTTAGTCAGGGTTTAGGGTTTAGGGTTTAGGGTTTAGGGTTTGGGGTTTAGGGTTTAGGGTTTAGGGTTTAGGGCATCTGTGAGTTACCGTCGCACCACCACAAGGACCACAGGAAGCTTGCGGAGGCCCTGGCCGACTGCATTCGGCGCACAGCCAGTTGAAGACCGTCACGTTCCTAGAGATCCCAATACCCCTTAGCTAAGGAATGTACCTTAGATTCTATTATACAGAGATACTTGATATGATTTAAGGTATATTCCTTGTTTAAGGGGGTATTGGGCTCTTTGGGTTGGCCGAGATCGAGACGAAGAGGCGGAAGAAGTAAAGAACGAGGCTCTGCCCGTTCTGGTGAAGTATTCTTGTGCAGTAGGCCCGCGCCCGTGAGGCCTACAGGGTGGGGCGCCTTACTATACTAACTGTAGTTAAGGGACTTATAACCTAACTTAGGGTCCTTATAACCCAATTTAGGGCCCTTATAACTCTACTTATAACTAGGGGGCCCCACCCTGTGCTGTCAAGAACTCACCTGGCATGTTAAGTCTGTGGCGTTGGCAGCATGGACGAGCGACCGCTGGTGGTGTCTGCCCACTGGTGAACAATTCACCGATCTTGCTGATGGAGGCATCGCTTTCGCGTGGACGCTATCTGGGTGGATCTGCAATCGACGGGACGTCGTGGTGGGATCCAGGATGTGGCTGCCCTGGTGCTCTCGAGCGCATGTCATGTCGGCAGAAGACATCAACGAGACTTGGGTTTCATTGCTGGCAGAGCCAGTGCCCACAATGAGATACACTCTGATACCCTTGGAGGTTTGGAGCCCGTCCCCTCGGCTTCCAACACTGAGAGTCGAGGGGGTTTGGGGTGCAGGGTGTAGGGTTTAGGCCTAAACCCTAAACCCTAAACCCTAAACCCTAAACCCTAGGGGCGCCCACGCCTTGATTGCGATGATTGGACAGGCTACTTGTAGGTGCATGGTACTTATTGACCAAGTATAACTGAGCTTTTAACCCAAAGTATTAGGGCACTTAAGGTGCTTATAAGTGGGTTTAGGGTTTAGGGTTTAGGGTTCTAAGTACAGTTTTAGTTGGCTAATAAGTACCCTGAACCTCCAAGTAGGACCTCAGTTTGGCCCCTATTCCTGTGTTGGGGGCTCAGTTCCTCATAAAGCGCTTTCGGTAGCTTACTTTGTGGCAATAAGTGAACCTTTTTTTTGGGGTTTAGGGTTTAGGGTTTAGGGTTCTTCTTACTTGGTACGAAGAATGAGGTTAAAGTTTTGACTTGTTTTTTTCCTTGGCTATAGGAGTAAGATGAATACCACACATGCATCAGAACCCTTTAGGGGGAGGTTGGGGACCACAGAAAGGGCCCATACAAAGGGCCCACCCTAAACCCTAAGCCCGAAGCCCTAAACCCTAAACCCTACTTCGTATACCCTCAGCTGAAGCGGGTTGTGTAAGTTGTGGCATGCCGGAGGTTGATTTTCAAGCCGGGCCCGCAGTTCGGAGTTCGATGGCCCAGGGCTGTTCAGGGTTTAGGGTTTAGGGCATAGGGTTTAGGGTTTAGGGTTTTTGGGCTGTTGGGGGTTATAGGGGAAAGTTGGAGATCGTTAAAAACAGCAGTCGGGCAGAAGTCGATCATGAAAGATATGGATCGGTGCGCCGAAGCCCTAAACCCTAAAAGCTAAACCCTAAGCCCTAAACCCTAAAGCCTAAACCCGAAACCCCGAACTCAAACCAATTTAGTTTAGAGCAGAGGCCTCATGAAGTTGAGTGGTGAGGTACCCGGGCCCCGGTGCTTAGAAGTTGGCAGGTTGCCGGGCAGATTTCCAAAGCACTTTGCATCTTATCAAGCCCTATAAACCGTTCAACCCCAAAAGCCCTATACTCTCTAAACGCCCTCTCAATCCTTCAAGCCCTAAGCCCGAGAGGCACAAGCCCTAAACCCTAAACCCTAAACCCTAAACCCTAAACCCTAAACCCTACAAACCCTAAACCCTCAACCCTCAACCCTAAACCCTACAGGCACAATATCCCACCTGCTCGCTTCATTGTCTTCCTGCACACGGTGTTTTTCCTCATGGCCAGCTTGGCCCTCGAGCCATTCTCTACAAGCCTCGGGTTTAGCTCTGTGTAGAATTTAAGGTTTGGGGTTTGGGGTTTAGGGTTTTCCCCTAAACCCTAGCCCTAAACCCTAATTAAACCCCATGCCCCAAAACCCTAAACCCTAAACCCTAAACCCTAAACCCTAAACCCTAAACCCTAAACCCTAAACCCTAAACCTTATAAACCCTAAACCCTAAACCCTAAACCCTAAACCCTAGCCATGCTGGGGTTGCCACTTAGTTGCGGCGCTTTCGGGACATTTCCGGGCTCTCAGCAGCTTTAGCAGCTCGAGGGTTTGGAGCATAGTTTGGCAACTCTGGGGCTTAGGATTCAGGTTTCACAAGGGTTTAGTGTTTCGGGTTTAGGGTTTTGGGTATAGGGTTTAGGGTTTACGGTTTAGGGTTTAGGGTTTTGCGAATCATCGTTTTAGGGGTTATAGAGTAGCTTTAGGTTCCTGCTCTTCGTGGGGGAACTGGGCATGGATTTTTTTTGCGTGACCTACGGCTCGCATGCAGGTTCAGGGTGTCTGGGGGCTTATAGAGGCTTTCCTGTGAAACCGGGACGGTCCCGTCCCTAAACCCTAAACGGAAACCCTAAGCCCTAAACCCTAAACCCTAAACCCTAAACCCTAAGCCCTAATTAACGCTCAAGCAAGCCCCAAGAGGCTTCGGCTCTCTGAATTACAGAGGTATAATGGTGTCGAGTTTAGGGTTGCGGGGGGGCAGCTGAGAACCTAAGACCCGAAACCCAAGAACCCTAACCCCTAAACTGCCAATAGACCACCCAAGAGCCCTCCAGGTTTCAACCCGAAACCCTACAACCTGAAGCCCTTCAACCCTTAAACCCTTAAATCCTTCAACAACAAACAGCCTTAAGCCCTTAAAGCCCCTTAAAACCCTCAAAACCCTTAAAGCCCGTAAATTCTCAAACCCTTAAACCCTTAGAACCTTTAAAACCCTTAAACCCTGAAACTCTTACAGCCCTCAACACCCTGAAGCCCTTAAACCGCCCAAGGTCAGCTCATGAGCCCTAAACTCCTAAACCCTTAAACGCTAGACCCAAGGTCAACTCATGCCTCCCTCCAAATGGCCTCACGAGCAAAACTACAAAGTGGTGGCGTTGGTTGCCGCTCGGCGGTGATGAGGTTCGGCTTGGGATTCAGGGTTTAGGGTTTGGGGTTTCGGGTTTAGGGTTTTGGGGTGTAGGGTTTGGGTTTAGGCTTCGGTTTCGCAAAGTTGTTGGTTCCGAGTCGGGAATTCGGAATTAGGTACGGTACCCTCTGTAATCCCGTAAAGTGTTGTATAGGATTCCTGTTTCATTCCTCATTCAGAGCTAGTACTGCCCTGGTTTTTTTTAGATTCCGGAATTCTTGGCGTAGGGCCTGAAAGTATATGGGCTTGAGGGTAAGGCCAAGGGATTAAGTTAAGGGCCTGGGTTTAGGGTTTAGGGTTTAGGGTTTAGGGTTTAGGGTTTAGGGTTTAGGGTTTAGGGTTTACAGGTTTAGGAAGTACATGCCGCCTTTTTCGTTTGGGACGTCGGGCTTAGGGTCCATAGCTCTTCCCTAAACCCTGAACTTCAAACTCGAAACCCTATTCCGAAACCCTGAACCCTAAACCCTAAACCCTGAACCCTAAACCCTAAACCCTACACCCAGAGCCCAGTTTGTCAAGTAATCCAGCTCGTAGCAGTCCTATCAGCCAGGAGCCTAACCACGCCCCCATAAACCCTAAACCCTAAACCCTACACCCCTAAGCCCATCCCCTGGAACAAAGGGTTTGGGGTTTGGGGTTTAAGGGTTGAGGGTTTTTGGGTTTCGGGTTTATCGTTCAGGGACCTATGCCCTGACATTTTTTCCGTAGCCTAACCACTAGACCCTAAGTCCCTTAAGCCCCTAAACCCCTAAACCCCGCAACCCGCAACTACAAACCCCCAGAAAATTCACTCCTTGAGAGGGTGGAGATGCGCCGGAACCAAAGTGTCGAGAAAGAAGAAGCTACAAGTTTAGGGTTTGCGGGTTAGAGTTTAGGGGTTCAGGGCGTGGGCAAGACTGCTGCGAAGAGCAACGAGTTGTCTCCTGCAAGTCCAACGTGTCTGGATCTTGGGCAGCAACACCTGTTGCGAGCCCCTGGGCAGTACCTCAGAAGCAGCTTGGCCTGGTGACTCGAGAGTACTTCTTCGAAGGATTGCAGCCCAAAAACCCTAAACCCTAAAGCTCCAAAGCCTAAGCTCTGAACCCTAAGCCCTAAACCCCTAAGCCCCAACAAGCGAAGTAAACGCCCTCACGGAAGGGAGCTTTGCAAGCACACTTGGGGTGCATACCAAACCCCAAACCCTGAACCCTAATGTATACACCCTAAAACTCAAACCGTAAACCCAAAACCCCAAACCCCAAACCCTAAGCCCTAATGTCTACACCCTAAACCCTAAACCCTGAACCCTTCGCCCAGGGCGCGATGGAATTCCTGGGCTGGGCCTCCTTGCAGCAAGTCGCTTTCGCCCGGGAGCCAAGGTCGAGAGGTTTAGGGTTTGGGGTTTAGGGTTTGGGGGTTGGGGTTTAGGGTTTAGGTGTGAGGATTACCGAAAACTCTTCATGTCGCTCTTAGCTCGCCTTTGGCCAGGTTCGGTGTTTGGGTTTATAGGGTTTATAGGGTTTAGGGTTTAGGGTTTCAAGTAGTGGCAGCCTGTACAACTCTCAGCATTGGCATTCGGGACACTCTCAACTGCCAGATTCATCATAAGACGCCCCAGAGGCGTCGGTCTTTTGTTTTGGGGTTTAGGGTTTATCGGGTTTCTGGGGTTTATAGGGTTTATCGGGTTTATAGGGTTTGCCCCATTTACACCAGTAACGGCACTCCCTAAACCTGAGCCCTAAACCTTACCTTCAAAAATTTCTAAGAGCCGTTACATGGTTCCTTAACATTGTTCCTTACCTTCTTCACAGGTTTCCGAAATATAAGCCCTAAACCATAAACACCTAAAACCCCTAAAACCCTAAACCCGAAACCCTAAACCCTAAAACCCTAAAACCCCCCTGTAGAAGCAAGGGACACGAAAGCCCAAAATCCAAAGCCTCGCCTCCTTTCCCAGGCCGGCGGCCTCGGCCGCCGCCCCAGAGAAGGGTTCGGGTTTAGGGTTAGGGTTTGGGGTTTAGGGTTTAGGGTGTAGGTTTAGGGTTTAGGGTTTAGGGTTTAGGGTTTAGGGTTTAGGGTTTAGGGTTTAGGGTTTAGGGTTTAGGGTTCAGGTCGTGGGGCGGCTAAGGATTCGGGGTTTTGGGTTTCCGTAAATCGTGAATCCTGCAGTTAAGGGTTACGACGCATGGGTTAAATGGCTGAACGATCTCGGGGTGTTGGGGTCAAACAACACTCAAAGTCCAAGTCCCTAAACCCAACCTTGTCCTTTCAACCCTTACAGGGTGGGGCCCCCTAGTTATAAGTAGAGTTATAAGAGCCCTAAATTGGGTTATAAGGACCCTAAGTTAGGTTATAAGTCCCTCAACTACAGTTAGTATAGTAAGGGGGCCCCACCCTGTAAACACACCCTAGGCCCCTGAACCTGCAGTGGTTTGAGGGTTGCGGGGCTTCGGTTGTAGTCCCAAGGCTCTTGAAGACAATGGCGCGCCTTGAAACTTGAAACCCTCATCTTTGGCATCTTGAGGTGCCTGCTGGCTCTAGCACTATTCCTACCACTTCCCACAAGTCGGCCACGGCCTTGACTACCCATAATTTGTCTTCGCCCCCAAGCCCTAACTTTCGAACCCTGGAATCCCGAAAGCCCCATTGCTCCGACTGCGCGAGCATCCTTGAATCTGAAATCGCGCCCCCGTGCCGGACGGCGACAGCTCTTCAGGGTGTGGGGCCCCCTAGTTATAAGTAGAGTTATAAGGGCCCTAAATTGGGTTATAAGGACTCTAGATTGGGTTAGAAGTCCCTTAACTACAGTTAGTATAGTAAGGGGGCCCCTCCTTGTAGGGCTAACCCTAAACCCTAAACCCTAAACCCTAAACCCTAAAACTTCCTTTCCTAAACCCCGAAGCCTTGCAAGCAAGAGGTGTCACTGCGGCATTGCTGAATGGGGTGTCCTTGGCACAGACCTCAGCGATCAGAGTGCTTTAAGGCTTTAGGGGCCCAGCTAAGCCAGGGGTCCGAATCAGTGTAGGGCTATTTATTGCTATGCTTTTTCATTTTTTGCTTGGTGTTTTTGATATGTTGTGGTATGCTGATGATGTATGATTGTTTTCTATTTGTGTCTTGTTGTTGGTTTTTTCTCGTGGAAAAATGCAAGAAAGTAACAAAACACAGGAAAGGTGGCCCTGGCTTTGGCCGGATGTTGTGCCTTTTTGTTTTCCCAGTAACCACAGCATCCGTGACCTGATCCCTAAACCCTAAACCCGAACTAAACCATAACAAATTAGACCCTAAACCCGGAACCCTAAACCCCGAAACCCGATACCCCGAAACCCTAAACCCGAAACCCGAAACCATAAACCCTAAACCCCAAGCCCTAAACCCTAAACCCTTAACCCTAAACCCTAAACCCTAAACCCTAAACCCTAAACCCTAAACCCTAACCAGCCCTTGCCAACCCTCGCGCCCGCCAGCTCCTGACGTTGCTCTGCGCCCGGCTGATCCTCGGCAGCCACGTCCGGCCATCGGCCTGGATAGGTGCTGCGCCGCGAGCTGAGTATGTTAGGGTTTAGGGTTTAGGGTTTAGGGGAAAATTAGGGGTTAATTAGGGGTTTGGGGGAACTAGGACCCAGAGCAGGCCCTTATTCTCCAGGTTCCCTTATTGCAAGCCCCGTTTAACCAAAAAGGGCGCCTGCTTTTCGGTTCCTAGGTTACTCTGTGGGGTCTGGTATTTGTTTTTTTTTGGGTTTAGGGCTCCCAGTGTGTTCAGGGTTTATAGGGTTTGTAGGGTTTTCATAGGGCTTACAGGGTTTGCAGGGTCTCAGAAGGTTTATCGACTGTACATATCGGGTTTGGGGCTTAGAGTTTCGAGCTCAGGGCGACGTTTCGAGTTGCCAGCTTCTGTGTTCGTCCCCCCAGGGGAGGGGGTTGAGTGTTGTGCTGAAGGCGTCTTTAAAGGTATTTAGGGTCGGGGTGTCCAGGATGATAGGGCTAGTTTAGGGGTAAGGCTTGAGTAGGTTTCAGAACTCAAGGTCGGGGGGTTTAGGGGTAAGGGTGCCCCAAACCCTAAACCCTAAACCCTAAGCCCTAAACCCTAAACCCCAAACCCTATATAAACCCTAAACCCTAAACCCTAAACTCCTGCCTCTTTTCCTGCCCTAAACCCTAAACCCTAAACCCTAAACCCTCAACCCTCAACCCTGAACCCTCAACCCTCAACCCTCAACCCTCAACCCTAAACCCTAAACCCTAAACCCTAAACCCTAAACCCTAAACCCTAAACCCTAAACCCTCAACCCAAGCCCCAGATGCATCATTTCGGGCCTTGCAGTCGAGAGTGAAAGGGTTCTTCAGAGGTTACCGGCACCACAAGCCTTGGGTTTAGGGTTTAGGGTTTAGGGTTTAGGGTTTAGGGTTTAGGGTTTAGGGTTTAGGGTTTAGGGTTTAGGGTTTAGGGTTTAGGGTTTAGGGTTTCCCGACTACCACCTCCATACTCCTCCCCTAAGTTCCACCCATAGTTGAGGCTATTTAGGGACAGTTAAGCCTAATCAAGGTTATTTAGGGTTTAGGGTTTAGGGTTTAGGGTTTCAGGGGGACACTCTGGGGTAGTCACAGAGGGGGGAGGAGGGAAACCATTGGTTCAAGCTTTGGGAAATCCTGGGCTCAGTTCGAGTGAGCTGGGACCACCCACTGCAATGCACCTAGACACACCTTAGCAGACGGGGGGTTTAGGATATCCAAACCCTAAGCCCTAAGCCCTAAGCCCTAAGCCCTAAGCCCTAAGCCCTAAACCCTAAACCCTAAACCCTAAACCCTAAACCCTAAACCCTAAACCCTAAACCCTAAACCCTAAACCCTAAACCCTAAACCCTACACGAAGTAGACCCTGAACCCTGAACCGAGACCGCGAAACTCGGCCCAGGATTGTTGCCGTCGGTGTTGGTGCCACAGGGTCCATGTCAAATCTGCTCCTTGGCAATTGTAGGGCTTTTTAGGGATGCGTTTGGGTTTAGGGTTTAGGGTTCAGGGTTTAGGTTTTAGGGTTTAGGGTTTTTTAGGACCCCAAACCCTAAACCCAAACCCTAGACCCTAAACCCCAAGCCCTAAGCCCTAAGCCCTAAACCCTAAACCTAAACCTGAAGCTCCCGTGGCACTGTGCCCTTTTTCGGAGTTCTTGGGCCCACGGCCTGCAACTTCCTTGGGTTAGGGTTTCGGGTTTAGGGTTTAGGGCTTAGGGCTTAGGGTTTAGGTTTTGGGGTTTAGGATCTAGGGTTTAGGGTTACAGGTTGAAGGGTTTAAGGCTTTAAGGCTGTATGGCTTGGTTTAGGGGTTCAGAGTTGGACATACGCGTCCTAAGCCCTCAACCCTAACCCCTATTAGAGAAGTCTCAAACCCTAACCCATAACCCTGAACCCAAAATTCCTAACCCAAATTCCTGACCCTAAACCCTTAACCCCTAAACCCTTTAAACCCTTTAAACCCTTTAAACCCTTTAAACCCTTTAAACCCTTTAAACCCTTTAAACCCTTTAAACCCTCTAAACCCTTTAAACCCTTTAAACCCTTTAAACCCTTTAAACCCTCTAAACCCTTTAAACCCTTTAAACCCTTTAAACCCTTTAAACCCTTTAAACCCTTTAAACCCTTTAGACCCTTTAAACCCTTTAAACCCCTTAAAACCCTCTAAACCCTTGACCCTGAAGCCTAAACCTCGAACCCTCAACCCTCAATCCTCAAACCCTCAACCCTCAACCCTCAACCCTCAAACCCTCAACCCTCAACCCTCAACCCTCAACCCTCAACCCTCAACCCTCAACCCTCAACCCTCAACCCTCAACCCTCAACCCTCACCTTAAACCCTAAACCCAAGAGGGCTTGGGGTGTAGGATTTACTACCGTTTGCTTAGGAAGCCACCCAAAGACTTTAAATCTTCATGCGGAATTGGGTCTTAAACCCATGGGCTCTCAACGTCGTTTAGGGTTTAGGGTTTAGGGTTTAGGGTTTAGGGTTTAGGGTTTAGGGTTTAGGGTTTAGGGTTTAGGGTTTAGGGTCTCAACTCCAGGTTCTCCTCCTCCATCAGCGCTGGCCACGTGGCATTGCTCGGCCCTTCGCTCAGTCGGGGAACCCTAAACCCTAAACCCTAAACCCTAAACCCTAAACCCTAAACCCTAAACCCTAGACCCTAAACCCTAAGCCCTAAACCTAGTGCGCAGGGGGCCCTGGACCCCAAGGCCTCGAAACCCCTCAAGCTTCACACGCGAAGCGCGAATGCCTTAGCTCGCAAAACACCTTAGGACACCCCACCAGGACCGGGAGTAGGCCCTTTGGTTTAGGGTTTAGGGTTTAGGGTTTAGGGTTGGGGTTCCCGTTTCATCCTCTGAAAACCAAGAAAGGGTACCCTTTTCATTCCTAGGTTACTCCCGGGTCTAGCCCAGCTAGGTTGGCTTCTGGGATGTCTCACATCCTCCTTCTTTGTTTTTACATAAGGGACCCTACATAGAACTACTTTTCATAGGGTCTTAGAGGCCAACCAGCCGGGCCTTACAACCCTTTAATCTTTTCGACTTTATGGGCTTGATGTGGCTCATTAGGGAGGGGGGGGGGCTTTGTTGTGTGCGCGTGATGAAGGCTTCCGCGGAATTGCGAGGCTGACTTGACCTACCGGGCTTAGGCTGTAGGGTCTAGTTTGGGTTGAGGGTTTAGGGTTCAGGGTCTCGGGTTTAGGTTGACAATCTGGAGGGCAGATGTGGGTGCAGAGAGGGTCTTTGTGAGAGCTTATCTGAGGACTCCAATGTAGTTCCTTTCGGGGTCCGTTCTGGTTTTTCCATTAAGTACTATAGCATGTCACCCAAAAACAGAACTAAGTCATAGAGTCTTCAGGTATGGGGTGTATAGGTGTTCCATTAAGTGCTATAGTATGCCACCCGAAAAAGAGCTACATTGGAGTTTTGAGGTAGGGGGCTGTTTATGGAGCTGCCTCTAAACCCTAAACCCTAAACCCTAAACGTGGAGCAAAGACTCATCCTGAGCTAAGCAGAAGCCCAGAAAGCCGTTAATGGCTAAGGCTTACAGGCAACCCTAAACCCTAAACCCAAACCCTAAAACCTAAACCCTAACCCCCCCCAAAGGGTTAGGGTTTAGGGTTTAGGGTTTAGCGGGTACTGGTAGGGGGGTTCGGGGACACCAAACCCTAAACCCTAAACCCTAAACCCCAAACCCTAAACCCTAAATCCCAAACCCTCTAGCGGCCTTGAGTGCTCGATCCTATGAGCCGCCGAGTCTCAGGTGCCTCGCTGGCTTTCTCGAGCATGGCCCTCACAGGAAAAGAGGCAGGAGTTTAGGGTTAGGGTTTAGGGTTTAGGGTTTAGGGTTCAGGGTTTAGGGCTTAGGGCTTAGGGCTTAGGGCTTAGGGCTTATAGGGCTTAGGGTTTAGGGTTTAGGGCTTGGGGCTCCCATTTTTTTAGGTTTTAGGGTTCGGGGTTCGGCGGCCAGGGCTCCAATTGCACGATGCTTGGTTTAAGTCGCTGTGCTATGGTGTTGGGTTTCGGCCTTAGGGCATAGGGTTTTGAATGGAAACTCACATGAAACCCTACGAACCCCTAAACCCTAAAACCTAAACCCTGAAACCCCAACCCCAAACCCTAAAGCCACGAGCTTGTGGGTTCAGGTGGCTTCAACTTGTAAGCTTTCAGGCTCCCGGCCGGTCCCCCCCCCCCCCCCCGTTGGGGGCTTTTTAGGGTTGGGTTTAGGGTTTAGGGTTTAGGGTTTAGGGTTTAGGGTTATGGGCTATAGGGGGTTGTTGGCTTACAGGTTTTCAAGGGTGGGTCAGCTTCCAACACAACAACCCAAAAAGCGTTGCCATTCCTCGGTTACTTGGTTTAAGTCGCTGTGCTATGGTGTTGGGTTTCGGCCTTAGGGCATAGGGTTTTGAATGGAAACTCACATGAAACCCTACGAACCCCTAAACCCTAAAACCTAAACCCTGAAACCCCAACCCCAAACCCTAAAGCCACGAGCTTGTGGGTTCAGGTGGCTTCAACTTGTAAGCTTTCAGGCTCCCGGCCTTCTTGTCCCCCCCCCCCCCCCCCCCCCCCCCCCGTTGGGGGCTTTTTAGGGTTTAGGGTTTAGGGTTTAGGGTTATGGGCTATAGGGGGTTGTTGGCTTACAGGTTTTCAAGGGTGGGTCAGCTTCCAACACAACAACCCAAAAAGCGTTGCCATTCCTCGGTTACTTTGTGACCCTAAAACCCTAAAACCCTAAACCCTAAAACCCTAACACCCTAACACCCTAAAACCCTAAAACCCTAAAACCCTAAAACCCTAAAACCCTAAAACCCTAAAACCCTAAAACCCTAAAACCCTAAAACCCTAAAACCCTAAAACCCTAAAACCCTAAAACCCTAAAACCCTAAACGCTAAGCTGAAGATGCAGGTCCTGTTCTCGGGACGAGCGCCACTTTCCGTGCCGATGGTGCAGCTGGCTCCCCTTACAACCAGGGCTTAGGGTTTTTAGGGTTTAGTGTTTAGCGGTTTTCTTTGCAGTCCCCCAAAGCTCCGCCGTAGCCCTTTTGCGGGCAGTTGTTGTTGGGTGGGGGGGGGGGGGGGGGAGGCAAGCTATGACTAGTTTTTACAGCTACTTTGCACTTGATGTAGGATTCAGGGTGTCAGGGTAAAACCCAAAACCAAAACCAAAACCCCAAGCCCTAAACCCTGTAACCCTAATAAACCCTAAAACCAAACAAAGAATGCGGCACTTCCCACAAACCCTGAATGTTTCGGCCTTAAATGGCACACCCTAAACCCTAAGCCCTAAACCCTACACCCTAAACCCTAAACCCTAAATCCCTTCAAGACTCCTTAGAACCACTCTGGACCCTGGGTCCTTCAACCCTTCAAGCCTTTAAGCTTTCAAGCTCTCCACCCGAAACCGCAGTAGGGTTTTGGGGTTTAGGGTTTAGGGTTTAGGGTTTAGCGTTTATGGTTTAGGGTTTAGGGTTTAGAGTTTAGGGTTTAGGGCTAGCCAGGTGGCGTGCATCGCATCCTTCGCACAGCTCATGGCCCTGGCGATGCCCGAGGCCGGCTGCAGGGACTAAAGGAGGGACCCTGACAAGGGACCTTAGGGTTTAGGGTTTAGGGTTTAGGGCTTAGTTAGGGTTTAGGGTTTAGGGTTTAGGGTTTAGGGTTTAGGGTTTAGGGTTTACGGTTTAGGGTGATTCAGGGTGGAGGGACCCTTGTTGGGGACCTTAGGGTTCAGGGGCTATTTCAGGTTTAGGGTTTAGGGTTATTTAGGGGCTACTTAGGTATATAGGGACTACATAAGGTGTGTGTGTGTGTATATATATATATGTATATACAATAGGGTTTCGTGGGGAATCGATTTGGTTCCCTCCTAGGGGTCCCTGCTTATAGCATTTAAAACCCGGAAATGTCCAGTTGTTTCGGGTTCGGGGTCGGGTTAGTTAAACAGCCGGAAGGCCTAAACCCTAAACCCCAAAACGACCCCAGATTCCTTTGCCCGAATCCTGAAGCCCTCTGTTCAATTCTACTGCTCGCCCTAAACCCTACACCCTATACCTTTTAGGGCTTAGGGTTTAGGGGTTCATGTTTTTCAGGGTTTAGGGTTTTTGGGTTTAAGCCCAGGGTTTAGGGTTTAGGGTTTAGGGTTTAGGGTTTAGGGTTTAGGGTTTAGGGTTTAGGGTTTAGGGTTTAGGGTTTAGGGGGGCTTAGGGTTGTGGATTCTTGGGCTTGTGGATTTCAAGTCTTTCTAACTAGGACTCAAGGCCTTGGGGTGTAGGAATCTGGGGTCGGTTTGAGGATGGGATTCAGGGTTTAGGGTTTAGGGTTTAGGATCTAGGGTTTAGGGTTTAGGGTTTAGGGTTTAGGGTTTAGGGTTTAGGGTGAAGTTCTTGCAAATCAAAAGTTTGCATGGGTGGGTGGCCAAGACTGCACATGTCCGGATGGTTTTCTGCGCGGATGGCGAGCCTGCAGAGCTTGCAGCCGGCAGCAGTGCCCGCTCCGAGTTCCCGACACTAAACCCTAAACCCTAAACCCTAAACTCTAAACCCTAAACCCTAAACCCTAAACCCTAGTGTTCCTGTGCATGCTCCACTCCGCGCAGAAGAGCTTGGAGCTGGTGATGAAGACAGATTCTCAAAAATGGAACTTCAAGCTGATAACTGCAAGGCCTGGGTTCCTTAGCTCCCCAAAGAGCCCAATATACCCCTGAAATAAGGAATATACCTTAAATCATACTAAGGATCCCTATAGAATTCAATGTATATTCCTGAATTAAGGCCCAAATAAGGGGTATTGGACTCTCTGTCGCGTATTGACAAAGTCTCGCGATCTCGACGCTTTAGCCGAGTTGACGAGGCTTGGGTTTAGGGCAGTCTGGACCTCGAAGAACCGGCAGTCCCAACCTCGAAACCGCCGAAACCCGGAAGACCATCAGTTTAGGGTTTAGGGTTCAGGGTGCCTATAAGCCCTAAATCCTAACCCTCAACCCTGAACCCTGACCTGAATCTCTGGGAAGTTACATGGTGCCTGAATACGCTTTTACATGGGATTTATAGAGTATGTAAGGGGTATATACGGATCCCCAATCAAGGGCCCATACTACGGGACCATGTAGCCCTTAGACTGAACCCTACACCTTAAACCCTAAACCCCAAGCCCCAAACCCCAAACCCCAAACCCTAAACCCTAGCAGCTTACTTGCCGCCAGCTTCTCAGCCTGCGGAGCTTTCCTGGAAGCCTCCAGTTCGCGCAGATCATCATCGGTCCCGCACCAAGGCCAGCAAACAAACGGTTCGGTTCGGTTCGGTTACGGTTTCTGTTTCTGCGGTTCGGTTCGGCGGTTCCGGTTTGAGCGACGGTTCCGGACGGTTCGGTTCGCGGTTCGCACGGTTCCACAAAAAACCTCACACCCTGAGCCACCCTAAAACCCCAAGCCCAAAGTCCCCTCAGGAGAGAAGAGAAGAGTAGCGTAAAGCACTTCGAGAAAAACACTTGGACACGCTCAGGCGGTCTTGAACGCCTGACGCCCGCCGACCTCCCAAATACGTACCTTTTTTGGGTCTTTTTGGCCTGAAAACGCCGTAAAGGGCACATATTTCGGAGGTCGGGCCGTTCCCGGACCCGACCCCCCCCCCGCCGCCAACCTCCCAAATACGTACCTTTTTTGGGTCTTTTTGGGCTTGAAAACGCCGTAAAGGGCACGTATTTCGGAGGTCGGGCCGTTCCCGGACCGGACCCCCCCCCCCCGCCAACCTCCCAAATACGTACCTTTTTTGGGTCTTTTTGGGCCTGAAAACGCCGTGAAGGGCACGTATTTCTTAGGTCGGGCCGTTCCCGGACCGGACCCCCCCCTCCGGCTGACCTCCCAAATACGTACCTTTTTGGGTTTTTTGGGCTTGAAAACGCTGTAAGGGCACGTATTTCGGAGGTCGGGCGGACCGGAACCCCCCCCCCCCCGCCGGCTGACCTCCCAAATACGTACCTTTTTGGGGTTTTTTTAGGCCTGAAAACGCCGTAAAGGGCGCGTATTTCCGAGGTCGGGCCGTTACCCCCGCCTACTTCCCAAATACGTACCTTTTTTGGGCTCTTTTTAGGCCTGAAAACGCGGAAAAGGGCACGTATTTTCCGAGGTCGGGCCGTTCCCAGACCGCACCCCCCCCCCCCCCCCCCCCCCCCCCGCCGACCCTAACAAATACGACCTTTTGGAGTCTTTTGGGCACGTATTCGGAGGTCGGGACGTTCCCGGACCGGATCCTCCCCCCGAACCCCCGCCCACCAAAACGTACCTTTTTTGGGTTTTTTGGGCTTGAAACGCCGCAAAGGGCACGGATTCGGAGGGCCGTTCACGGGGACCCCCCCCCCCCCGCCCGCCGACCTCCCAAATACGTACCTTTTTTGGTGTTTTTTTAGGCCTGAAAACGCCGTAAAGGGCGCGTATTTCCGAGGTCGGGCCATTCCCGGACCGGACCCCCCCCCGCCCGCCGACCTCCCAAATATGTACCTTGTTTGGGTCTTTTTGGGCCTGAAAACGCCGTAATGGGCACATATTTCGAGGTCAGGGTTCCCGGACCGCAAAAAGTACATATTTGGGAGGTCGGCGGGCGGGGGGGTCCGGTCCGGGAACGGCCCGACCTCCGAAATACGTGCCTTTTACGGCGTTTTCAGGCCCAAAAAGACCCAAAAAAGGTACGTATTTGGGGGGCGGTCCGGTCCGGGAACGGCCCGACGTTTTGGGCTTGAAAATGCCGTAAAGGGCACGTATTTCTTAGGTCGGGCCGGACCCCCCACCCTCCCCGCCCGCCGACCTCCCAAATACGTACCTTTTTTGGGTCTTTTTGGGCCTGAAAACGCCGTAAAGGGCACGTATTTCGGAGGTCGGGCCGTTCCCGGACCAGACCCCCCCCGCCCGCCGACCTCCCAAATACGTACCTTTTTTGGGTTTTTTGGGCCTGAAAACGCCGTAAAGGGCACGTATTTCGGAGGTCGGGCCGTTCCCGGACCGGACCCCCCCCCGCCCGCCGACCTCCCAAATACGTACCTTTTTTGGGTCTTTTTGGGCCTGAAAACGCCGTAAAGGGCACGTATTTCGGAGGTCGGGCCGTTTCCCGGACCGGACCAAATACGTGCCTTTTTTGGGTCATTAGGGACCTGAAAACGCCGTAAAAGGTACGTATAGTTCGGAGGTGAGCCCGCTAATAAAGCCCCTACACCCCTAAACCCTAAACCCTAAACCCTAAACCCTAAACCCTAAACCCTAAACCCTAAACCCTAAACCCTAAACCCTAAACCCTAAACCCTAAACGCTAAACGCTAAACGCTAAACGCTAAACGCTAAACCCTGAACTGAACCCTAAACCCTAAACCTTAAACCCTGAACCCTGAACCCTAAACCCTAAACCCTAAACGAAATAAGACATGGGAGGTGCGACCTGTGAAATAGATAGAGGCGTGCCGTTACGTCTTTATGTCCTTAAGTGACCCCAAAAAGGGTCGGGGGTGGGGCGGCTCGAGAAAATGGGACGCAAAACAAGGAAGGGAACCTTCCCCTTCTTCATGAGGCCACTCTCGAAATGCATACCCTTCAGGGCCTAGGAATGTTTGGTCCTGGACTCAAATCCCTTCAGCCCAACCCTGATTGGGGAATAGGAACCTTTTACGGTTCGGTTTCTATTTCGGTTCGGTTCGACGGTTCCGGTTTTACTATTCGGTTCGCAGGTTCCGGTTCTGACGGTTCCGGTTCCACGGTTCGCGGTTCGGTTCCTTCGCTTCCTGCAAGGCTGGTCTTCTTTTTGCTTGGAAACCCTAAACCCTAAACCTTACACCCTAAACCCTAGGGATTTCCCGAAAAAAATCTTCTTTATTATATATATATATATACATATATATATATATATATTGTGGTTTTTTTTTTTTTTTTGGGGGGGGGGGGGGGGGCGTTGGTGGCAGCTTGCGGCTCTACAGCTTTCAGCTTCCGAAGTTACAGGGCTTCAAAGGGATCCGAGGTATGGGCCCTCGATATGTTTAGGGTTTAGGGTTTAGGGTTTAGGGTTTAGGGTTAGCCCTACAAGGTGGGGCCCCCTTACTATGCTAACTGTAGTTAAGGGACTTATAACCTAATTTAGGGTCCTTATAACCCAATTTAGGGCCCTTATAACTCTACTTATAACTAGGGGGCCCCACCCTGTATGGTGTATGTAAGCTAGGATGCCCCAGTAGTGCCCTTATTCCCTTTTTTGGGGGGTTTAGGTTCCCTTATAAACCCCTTTAAGCAAAAAAGGGGCACCCTTTTTAAGCCTAGGTTACTGGGCAGCCTAGTGGTGTATATAAGGGTTATACTTGGAGCTCCTAAACTCTCTCAACCCTGAGCTCTAGCCCCCCCCCCCAAAACCCTAAACCCTGAATATTCGACCCTAAAGGATACTTGGAGCCCTCTTCTGTGCTTCTAGTCTTCAGCAAGGGACCCGGCTCCATGGGGCTAAAGATGCTGCAGTTGGAGCATACCTGATGGTGGCCAAAATGCCCTTAACACCCAAGGACCCTAGGCCCCAGAACTTCCAAAACACAACTAGAGTCTCGCAATATTCCCTAGATCAGAATAAGTAGGACCCTTCATCTGACTCAAGCCATGTGTTGCAAGTTCTGGGACCATGAAACCCCGTGGTTTTTGGAGAACCGACCGAAATTCTCGTCTTTAAGCAAGGACTATGAGAGCCGCTCTCCTGTAGGGGATCTGAAGTATGGGCATGGTACTTATTACCCAATTAGAACTGTACTTCTACCTCTTAGGGGCTTGGGGGGTTTCTGTGTTCGGGCTTTTGGGGCTTACAGGGTGGGGCCCCCTAGTTATAAGTAGAGTTATAAGGGCCCTAAATTGGGTTATAAGGACCCTAAATTAGGTTATAAGTCCCTTAACTACAGTTAGTATAGTAAGGGGGCCCCACCCTGTAGGGTTCTTGGAGGGGTTTAGGGTTTAGGGGGTTCGGAACGCACTAAGTGTTCTTCAGGGCCCCCAAACCACAATCTTAAGGGGCATCCTGCGATCCGGACCACTCAGGAACTACTTCATGAAGAGGTTTTTTCGAAGTTCTCTAATTAACCCTAAACCCTAAACCCTAAACCCTAAACCCTAAACCCCTAAACCCCTAAACCCCTAAACCTCTAAACCTCTAAACCCCTAACCCCTAAACCCTTAAACCCTAAAACCCCGAACCTCGAAGCGGCGAAGAGGATCATGTCGTTGGCTTGGCCGGCTTACCTCTACGCGATCCTGCCTCGAGTTTGTGGGATCCTGGCCTTGGGGAGGTTTAGGGTTTAGGGCTAGGGTTTAGGGTTTAGGGTTTAGGGTGTAGGGTTTAGGGTTTAGGGTTTAGGGTTTAGGGCTAGGGTTTAGGGTTGAGGCTTTAGGGTTAGGGCTTATCGGTTTGATTTTTGCATTGCTTCTTGGTTCCTAAACGGAAGAGCCAGTCACTGTAATGTTGGGGGGCCTGCATTTCCCAACAAGCACGGTTGCCAAATTGCCCTAAACCCTAAACCCCAAACCCTAAACCCTAAACCCTAAACGCTACATAGTATATACTTGGGCTTCAAATGGGTTCCCATACAGTAGCTTTAGGCCCTAAGTATATAAATACTATACCGGTACATGGACCCTTATAAGGTTAGTAGGTTGTAGCGTTTCTGAAGCCCGATACCCCAAGCGAGAAAATGTCTTCACCCTGAACCTCTAACCCACGCCATCCAAGACAAGGAGGTCCTTGCAGCATGCACGCCCCTAAACAAACGGACAACTTGGGATAGGGTTTAGGGTGTAGGGTTTAGGGTTTACTGTAGGGTTTAGGGTTTAGGGTTGAGGGTTTAGGGTTTAGGGTTTAGGGTTTAGGGTTTAGGGTTTAGGGTTACAAGCCCGAAACCCCAAGCCACATGTAAGCCCTGAAACCCTGAACCCCGCGCGTGGACTGAGCCCTTTTGAGATGGATAGTCGGTTTTGCAAGCTGCAACCTGAAACCTAAACCCTAAACCCTAAACCCTAAACCCTGAACCCTGAACCCTAAACCCTAAACCCTAACCTTAGGGTTTAGGGTTTAAGGGGGATTCGAAGCGAGTTCGCGTCTTGGGCTTGGGTGACAGTTTAGGGTTTAGAGATGTTAGGCTTAGGGGCTAGGGTTTAGGGTTTAGGGTTTAGGGTTTTAGGTTTTGGGTTTAGGGTTTAGGGAGGTGAACGTGGTGACCTGCCCGTGCTGCAGAATCTAAGCTCAAGATTCTGGAAAGCTTTCCGAACCCACTGAGACATTGCAGAGGAGAATGACTGCCTCAGGCCCCGCACAGCACTTTGCGGGTTTAGGGTTTAGGGTTTAGGATTTAGGGTTTAGGGTTTAGGGTTTAGGGTTTAGGGAGTCCGTCTCAGGGGCTTTGCAAGGGTTAGGGTCCGAAACCCTACACCCTGAACCCTAAACTCACATGAGACCCTACACTCGAAAGCTTGACTCCGGAACTTCTACAAACTCAACACCCTAAGCCCCACAAGCCCTAAGCCAGTCCTGTACCATTCTATGAATTACCGAAACCAAACCCTACACCCTAAACCCCCAAACCCTAAACCCCTACGCCCGAAGCCCTAAACTGAAACATAAGTCTGTCTCTGTCCTCTAACCCTAGGTTCTAGGCCCGACAAACGAGGACGCCCAAAACCCTAAACTCTAAATCCTAAACCCTAAACCCTAGACCCAACCCCCAAACGCTACACGTCAGTTTAGGACTTAGGGCCCTGGATTGTTTTCATCAAGCTCCATGTCTCAAGCAAGCGCACCCATGGTTGTGTTCAGGTTTCTGGTCAGCCCCCCTCAACCTTAGTGTTCAGGGTTTAGGGTTTAGGGTTTAGGGTTAACCCCTAAACCCTAATCCCTGAACCCTAAACCCCCCATGAAGCCGGAGGTAGTTTGCTGCAGTCCTTGGCGGTGGAAGGCTGGGGAAGATTTGGGGATTAGGGTTAGAGTTTAGGGGTTTAGGGGTTTAGGGTTTAGGGTTTAGGGTTTAGGGTTTAGGGTTTAGGGTTTAGGGTTTAGGGTTTAGGGTAGGCAAAGGCTTTGGTTGAGGCTTGAGGGTTGTGGCTCGTGGACTCCAGGGCTCCCTACGTTCCGTTAGCTGCTTAGAGTTCAGGGTTTAGGGTTTAGGGTTTAGGGTTCAGGGTTTAGGGTTCAGGGTTCAGGGTTTAGGGTTTAGGGTGCGGGAACTGCTAAAGAGTGATGATTTCAAACCTTGGGTCGGACCGTCGCAGGTCGCAGCTTCGAGTCGCAACCTTTAGGGCTTAGGATCCATAAACCCTAAGCCCTAAACCCTAAACCCTAAACCCCAAACCCTAAACCCTAAACCCTAAACCCTAAACCCTAAACCCTAAACCCTATCCCTGAACCCTAAACCTCCTTGCCCCCCTGGAAGCTTCCCAAGGGCCTTGGCAGCCTCCAATCAGGGTTTGGGAGGCTGTTTGGGGGTTAGGGTTTAGGGTTTAGGGTTTAGGGTTTGGGGTTTAGGGTTTAGGGTTTAGAGGCTTGGTTTGGGGTGTTTTGGTCGACGTCGGGACTAAGCTTTGGCTTTAGATTTGTAGCTGGGTTTAGGGTTTAGGGTTTAGGGTTTTGGGTTTAGGGTTTAGGGGTCTATCCGTTTTCTGCAGTGATCCGGTAGAACCACTACTAAACCCTAAACCCTAGACTGATAAAGCCCTTAAGTTGTACTCGTACGGGTTCCGGGAAGTCTGCAGTGAGCGCCGCTCGAGGAAGTTCGCGAGCGTTCAGGATGATATTGCCGAGTTTGAGGGTTTAGGGCTTGCTGAGGGTTTAGGGTTCAAGGTTTAGGGTTTAGGGTTTAGGGCTAGGGGTTTAGGGTTTAGGGTGCAGGGTGTAGGGTGTCGGGTTTAGGGTTTAGGGTTTAGGGTTTCCAAACCTTTAGGGTCTAGGCAGGCTGGAACAGTTATTTCCTATCCCAGGTCGTAGCATTCTCTCCCACACGTAGGCCTTCAACATGTAAGATGTCGAGGCTGAAGCTCTGTCAATGTGAGCCAGAAAGCCAAGAACAGTTCTGCATTGTGCGTGCTGGCAAGGTCGTCCTGCAATGCACATGTATCCCTTTTCTTGGCTTAGGGGCCCTTAGCAACCTAATTCGTAATCCTAGCTAAAACAGGCCGTCTTTTTTCTGCAAGGGTTTTTGGGGATCCGAGTGAGAGACTAAACCCTAAACCCTATAATACTATACCCTAAACCCTAAACCCTAAACCCTAAACCCTAAACCCTAAACCCTAAACCCTAAACCCTAAACCCGCAGGTTTCATGGCGCTGAAGGAGATGCCGCCTCCTTGCCGCGCGCAGCTTGCCTGCCCGGCCTGCCGTGTTTCAGAGACTTTCCTACACCCCAAGCACGAAATCTAAACTCACCTATAGTGAGCCCCTAAACCCTAAACCCTAAACCCTAAACCCCACCGCCTCCAAAGGCGTGGTGAGCTTCTGAGCCGAAGCTCCGCCAAACTAAACGAAAGTCCCCTTACCCTACCTAGAGTACTTCAAGCGTCTTGCAAAGGGGAACTTTAGGGTTTAGGGTTAAGGGTTTAGGGTTTAGAGTTCAAGGTTTAGGGTGTAGGGTTTATATAGGGTTTAGGGGTATATCTCCCCTTTCTAAGAGTACGCAGGTGGCACGAGGTACGTTAAGCCTACACTCGAAACCCTAAACCCTAAACCCTAAGCTCCAAACTCTAAACCCTGAACCCTAAACCCTAAACCCTAAACCCTAAACCCGAAACCCTAAACCCTAAACCCTAAACCCATCCCCGGCGGGTCTCTGGCCGAGTCCCCCTGGTCTCGAGTTGGACCAGCTGTCGGGCGAATTCACGCCGCCCACCTCCCAGGCTGGTTTAAGGAATAGGGTTTAGGGTTTAGGGTTTGGGGTTTAGGGTGTAGGGTTTAGGGTTTAGGGTTTAGGGTTTAGGGTTTAGGGTTTAGGCTTCCTAAGCCCTAAGCCCTAAACCCTAAACCCCTTGTGGGTTGGTGAGGCTTCTGGCAGGCATACTTGCCCCCTCAACCCTCGGGACAGAGCCTGGTTCCGCATGCATGTACCGCAGTGAACTTGGTCCTCGTGAGTCTGCCAGCCCTAAACCCTAAACCCTAAACCCTAAACCCTAAACCCTAAACCCTAAACCCTAAACCCTAAACCCTGGAAGCTATACCCTAAACTCTACATGTTGCTCGCCTGGCCGTAACCTCCTAACTACCTTCCATTAGACCCCAGGCAGCTACAACTAGGGGCCCACTAGCTCCTGTTAAGAGTAGTTGTGGGATGTCTAGGTCTCGTTCTAAGTACGCAAATTTCCTGCCTAAAGACTCGATCGGCCACACGCAAGTTGTAAGGTTCTCAAGGGAGGGGGGGGTTATGGGGGGGTAGGTACGTACTTAGGGAACCTTAGAGGGAGCCTTAAGGTACTGGGGAGTATTAGGGGACCTGGGGTTACAAACCCTATTAGAAAATGCAGCAAAGCAAATGCACAAGCAATGTGTAACAGCTCAACACCCCCAACCCCGAATCCCTCGCCCCTGAACCCTAAAACCCACACACTTTGATTGGCCCGAGAGTCCCCCCCCCCCCACATCCCCATTCTCGACCCACAACCTAACTCCCAACCCTAAACCTTAAACCTTCAACCCAATCCCTAAACCCTAAACCCTAAACCCTAAACCCTCTGAACTGGAGGCCCGGAGGGTGCAGCCCCCACCCCCGCCTGTCCCATTTCTCTACCCACATCCACAACTCCCTCAAACCCTAAACCCTGCACCCTGAACCCTAAACCTAAAACCCTTATAAACCCTAAACTCCCTAAAACCTACATGGTTTAGGGTTTAGGGTTCCGTCCGAAGTCCTCGTCCTCACCGACGGCTAGCTGCTCGAGCCCAGCATTCTTCACAGCGACTGCTTCGGACTCTTGCCCTGTGGTTTTGAGGGGTTTAGGGTTTAGGGTTTAGGGACTCTTGCCCTGCGGTTTGGGAGTTTACAGGGATTTGAGGTTTTAGGAATCAAGGTGGTTGTGGATTGGATTCGGGGCTTAGAGTTAGGGTTTGGAGCCCAAGGCCGACGAATAAGGCGACTGCAAAAGGTTTAGGGTTTATGGTTTAGGGTTTGGGGTTTGGGGTTTGGGGTTTAGGGTTTAGGGACAGTACATGGTCCTTCTGAGGGCTGAGGACTCTCGAGAGCTCCATACGATGCCAAGCTTGTGGGTCCTTTCGG